GGACGAGAGACACCTTCGGCGGAGAGAAGACCTCGAGAACGGCGGCCCCTCCTCTCCTCTCCTCCGCGGCCTGAATAATCGCACGCCTGTCGGCATGCTTCCCGCTCGCCCGAGAGGAAACCAAGAGTTCCAGAGCCGACTGCCTGACTTTTCGGGAAATGGACCTCGTCTCCAGCTCTTCCGCGGCTTCCTGAAGCCTCGTGGTCACGAAGGCGTCCACCTCCACCGCGTAGAGGCGCCCTCGCGTCTCCTCAGCGCCCCTCTCGTCGTCGCCACCGTCCTCGTGCTCGTCGTCGCCCGAGGGCTTGACCTCGGATCCCGACGCCAGGCTAGTCGCTATGATGTTATTGGTCTTCAGACTGCTAAGGCCATCTAAGCTCGAGGCCCCAGGGCGCCCTTCGCGAGGCCCGCTGCGCCCCTCGAGACGGCCAAGGTCATCGAATTAAGCTCGAGGCCCCGAGATGCTCTTCATGCGGCCCGCAAAACCCCTCTGGGTCCAGGACTGGTTCCTCCTTCTCGCCCCCTTCCTGCTCCTCTTCGCCCCCCCTGGCTTCCTCTCTCCTCAAGCTTCGGCTCTCGCAACCGGGGGCCCAGATTGCCGCAGCAGTCGCGTCGGGGCGACTTTTCTGGCTCGGGACCCGTCCAGGGGCAACATACGAAGCGTGGCGCCACAATGCGTCGTGGGCCACCGCGTCTCCGCTACGGAGACGGACCCGACGAATTCCCGACGGGATGAGCCGACTCGGCGATCCTCCCCCACTGGCAGCGAGAGCGATTCCGACAAAGAGCGCAGACCGACCGGAGGTACCCAGGTCCCGTTTCGCCCATCCGAGATCGCACGAGACTTGATCCAGTCTGACCTCTCGACCTTCGATCCGATCCCAGATCCCCCTTTCCACGGTCTGGGGCCGGCGGGGCCCCCGGCGTCTTTCGGCCCCGGACTCCCTGGACGGCCAAGTCCCGAAGAATGAGGTGCTGAGATTCGGATCCTGATCCGAGTTTCCTGATCGCCTTCTTCTGCGACAGCACGGGCTAGCTCTCGAGACTCAACCAGGTGGATACTGCAGCGGGCCCCCCTCCTCGTCGCGGGCGCGCTGCACCTCCTCGGCCGCTCTCAAGCGAATGGCCAACTTCGCGATGTCCTCGTCGGCTAGCGGATGCTGGACCATGGCGGCCGGAACGGCTGGGATGTTCTGCTGGGCAGCTGACAGCTGCTCCGCCATTGGCGTCATCTGCCCCATGAAACTCTTCAACTGAGCGGAGTGCTGATGCCCCTGCGAGAGACGCGGCTCGCCCGGGGCTCGCGGGACCGGTGGGCTCTTGAAGGCCGTGGGCAGTAGACCTGCAGGAATCAGGGGCGGTTTGAGGTGACCGCCCGCCTTCTGGATCACTCGGCAAACCTCCTCCACCGACAGCGACGAAGACGACGCGCTCCCTGACCCCCTGATCGCACGAAGAAGAGCCTTGAACATCAGCCCCAGCGCATTCGGAACTGGAGGCTCGCAGGGCACCACTCGCGCCAGCCGAGGATCTCCTGGGCCTCCAGAGTACCCCTCCACCACGGCATTACCTGCTCGGCGCGGCGAACTACTTCGCCTCTGCCGCGGCCTTCTCTGCCGGCGTCTTGTCTCGCAGGGGGGGCCTCATCTTGCAAATTTGGCAGTGGCTGTGCACCGAGGTGCCGTTGGAGGCCTCCATCGCGGCCCACAGCGGGCGCGGGCAGGTGTCCTGGTCGTCGAACTTCATCTCGACTGCCTGCGGCCAGGTCGTTGCGATCCCGTGGGCGCCGCGGCACACCGCGGCGATGCGCAGCAGCCTGGGCGCGGCCCGCCCCCATCGAAGAAGAGCGGGGGCCAGCGTCTCGAGGCCGCGGTTGAAATTGCCCCTCTGATCCTCGAGTCATCTCCTCTTCCGTGAAATCCAGTGTCCGAAGATCTTCCGAAATCTCCTCCCGGTCTTTAGTCCTCGTGGATCCTGCGCGAGCGCGACGCTGCTCGCCTACTGGCTCTTGGGCCCGAGGTATTCCGGGATCCGCCTTTCTCGACCATCACTCTCGGAACAAGTCGAGTCCTGCTTCTCTGGTGGCGAGTTCTCTGCTCGAGCCGGAGCGCCGACGGAAATCGACCCCGAAAGCTGGGCCGCTGCATTCCGAGGCCCCAAAGACACCCTTAAATCGGACCTCGGAAGGAGAGAGACTAGACTGACTGTTGACTGCGCCCTAAACAGATCGCCCCTCCCCCGCGCGTTCTGACGGAGCTGCTCCGGCAGGCGCCTGATGATGTCCTCGCGCGCCGAGAAGTCCTCCGCGTCGCAGTGGATGAGCGACGCTGACCGATGACCAGCGCGATGGCGAACTAGTTCCCGTCGCACTCGCCCCTGGTCGCCGAGAATGTTCCCATCGTTTCCCAAGCCAAGTGCAGCCTTCATCGCCTCGAGCAGTCTAGCTGGAAGTAGCGGTGGGCGCCCCTGCGGGAGTACCAAGAACTCAGCGACTCCGTTCTTCCAGATGCGCCAGAACGAACGCGCGGGCGACGGGCCCCACGCGGCCGCCGATACCGCTGGCCGCCGCTCCAGGCACCAGCCCCTCGACCACCGGAATCTGGAGGCCGCGCCGAGCAAACGCGTCCATCATCACCGTCAGGTCCTCGCGCCCGATCAGCGCCTGGCCGGCCGCTGTGTCAACGAGAGCGCGATCCCCGAGCTGCTGCAGAGAGATTTCACCGTTCTTCACCTGGACTGTCCGCAAGATCTCATTGATCTGGCCCGCTGCGATGCAGTAGTCGCCCTCCGGGAGGAGGTCGCACAAGAGCTCTTGGCCGACGACTATAGTTTCTTGCCTTTCTCTGCGGAAAGCATGTCGGCCTTTGACCTGAACGGGTTGCGGCGCGCTTCTGCCCAGCGGCCTCGGTCGCCGCAATTCGCACGTCTCGTGCGCTTCTTGATGTCCGTCATCATCGCGCGCTTGAGTCCAGGGCGCGTCGCTCGGCGGCGACCGAAGAAGTCGCCATCCACCTTGCGAGCCGCCGCCATGCGCCTCGCCTCGGCCCAGTTCCCGCGCTCATCTTTGCCGAGGCGGTCCTCGACGACCGCGGGAAAGATGTGGAGGACCTCCGTCTCGCCGAGGTCCTGGTCGTCCAGGGTGGCAAAGAACGCGTCTACATCATCGGCCCGAAGGGACACTGAGTCGTCGATCTCCGATAGGAAAGATCCCTCTGGCTCGGGCGGGGGCGGGCATCCACCTGAAGACGTCGCCAACGGATCTGGGCTCTCGTCCTCAGCAATGAAAGTATTGCTGACAGGAGGGTAGGATGAGGGAAGAACGTCATGATATTCTTTCACGTCTAACATGAAAAACACTGAGCGCACCGATTCATAATCTGTCCTGTCACCTACCAGAGTTCGCCTGTTCAACCTGCTATGTAAGCTAAGCGACGCTCCCTCCTCAAGGTATCTCGATTTCACCTCCTCCAGTAATGTCAGCATGTGTTTTTTCAGCTTCAGCTATTTCTGCATCGCGCCTGACGACGTATTCTGTCAACGACTCTCCTTTTCTGATAATATACTGAAACAGCGCGGCATTCTGAGCAGGTCGAGCCCTGGCCCCGGGACGCTCCCCACTGAGAAGCGCCAAGTGTTCGAGAAGCCTGTCGAGGCCTCTATCTGAATCGGGATCAGACCGTATACTGCGGAACTCCATCTGCATCTCTACTGGTAGTCCTTCGAGCACTCGGCCTGGCCTCGTCTCTGGTCTGAAACCCGTACGATTAGCCCACGCTTGCAAATTGTGCCGGAACGTCTCGAGATTGTCTAAACCCAACCATGGTGGAGGCGCTCCCAAGTCTCTGTTGGGCGTGTCCCGTGGCTGACGCCCCCTCCAATCACCCCAAGAATATTCTCCAGCAGGCTGACTCTAGTCGTACGTGTCCCACCACTGATCTGACCTCCACGACGGGTCCCATCGCAAAGATTCCCAAGAATATCCTTCCCATTCCTGAGCTCTGCCAGTGTCCTGGACTGGCGTGGAGATGTCGACTCTGAGCGGATCATCATTCACTCGTTCGCTGTCTTCTCCCCCAGTGCTGCTCACGCTGCCCTGGCTCCTCTGCCCCAGCAGTTGTCAACGCCTCTGCTGCGCCACTCATGACGCTCCGCTTACCACTGTCACAGGTTCGAAGACGTGTAGCCCCACATGACTGCAGATAATGGATGAACTGTTGGGTGCACGAGGGCCTGGGTAAGCAGTTGGTATACACACTATGCCTAACGGCTACGACACAAATCCAAAGGGAGAAAGGGAAGGCACTGACCTGAGGGGCCTCTGGGGGTCCAGGGAAACAGAGCGCCCCAAGGGGGCAAAAAAGGCCAAACGGGCAGATGAGAAAGAGGGGGAAGGGGGAAGAGGAGGAAGAGGGGGAGGAAAGGTGAGGATAACGAGGAGAAAGGAATGCGAAAGAGCGGTGCGGAGGAGAAGCGAGGAAGAAATGAAACAGAGGAACAAAAGGAGAGGGAGGAGGAGGAGGGGGAGGAGGAGGAGGAGGAGGAGGAGGAGGAGGAGGAGGAGGAGGAGGAGGAGGAGGAGGAGGAGGAGGAGAGGAGGAGGGAGGAGGAGGGAGGAGAGGGAGGAGGAGGAGGAGGAGGAGGAGGAGGAGGAGGAGGAGGAGGAGAACGGGGAGGAAGAAAGGAGGAGGAGGAGGAGGAGGAGGAGGGATAGAGCGGGGAAGGAGGAGGGATGGAGGGAGAGGAAGGAGAGGTAAGCCCAGACATCCGACAAGGTGGCTTGTTTCCAATGCGCAACCCCAGAGGTCCCGACCCCTTCCCCAGGAGTCGCTACCCGTCATGGATTGCTGTGTGGTCGCCCCTGCAGGGCCCGAAGGTGGACCCCGGAGGCCGAAATCGAGGCACAACGCACCAGGATTGAAAAGCACATGTCGTCATATCATCGGATGCCTGGCTGGGCAGAGAGGATGAGGAGGGAGGAAGAGCCTCCCGCCCAGCCCCTCCATGTCGGGCGGCTTGGTGTGGTCGAAGTCGGGGTACCATATTCCGAGGAGCGTCTCAACCCACAGGGCGGACAGTGACCAATAGAGCCCGAGGAGAGATCCGCCGACCGTCGTCGTCGTCCTGCTCCTCTCCTGGATGCTCCTGGTTCGCATTTCTCCCCTGCCTCCAGCGCCGAATCCTTCTACTTTTGCGCCTCCTGCCCTCTCCTTCTCTTCCGCCGCCTCGGAATGACAAAACGCCTGAGACGTTTGGCTGTTCCCTCCCCCTGGTCCCCCTGTCTGGGGTGCACAATCCCGTTGGAGTGTGCGGCAAACTCGCATCGCGATGAAGTCGGAATTGTGCTTTGATGACGCCTGGAGTCTGACGACCCCGTGTGGATCATTAGCCCTTGAACGATCGCTTCGTTCCAATAGCGCACGTCTTTCGATGTCGGCCGAATATGGGTCACTGGCGGCGTTCAACCTTGAACGCCGCGAACCTACAGAATGTGAGTGCTAAAGGACGGGCATCTTGGCAACTACATCTTTCAGGGAGCGGCGGAATGGCGCAAGCATGCACAATATCAATATGCGAGACGTTCCAGGCATCTGCTTAATGTACGTCAGGCCGGCGAGCCACAGGATAATGACGTTGACGAACACAATTGGCGAGATCCAATACCACATATGTGTGTGCAGCCACATTTCCACAGGTGTCGCCATCTTGATACAAGCAACCTGACACGCCGATCGCAACGCTTGGGCCACAACGGCTGCGGAGGTTGCCAATCTGCACCGGCGAAGGAACATGTTGAACACCACCTGCTCATCCTTCTCGTCCACGCAGTGGAGATGGACAGGGAGGAGGGCAGCGGGTGGGAGGGAAACGGGAGAGGACGGAGGAAGTGAGAAGGACAGATGAAACGGATAGGCCGCGGAGAGCGAGCATGGCGGGATAGGGGGGAAGGACTGGAAGGCGCATGTGGGCGGGGGACGGCCAAAAGCAGGCAGGAGCGGGAGAGGGACACGGGAAGGAGGGCAACATCGGACTGCGCAGCAGAAACACATGAGAGAGCACGACGGCCAGAGGCTGTGCGGTGAGCGGCCCCAGGAGTTCGGTCTCCCTTGGGCCCCCTCTGGGGGGGGCAAGGGGTCAGCATTCCCAGCGGGGAGTAGAAGAAATTATCCCAGCCCTCATCCTCATCGTCATCCTCCTAACCATCATCACCATCAACATTATCGTCATCACCATCATCAGCATCATCATCATCGTCGTCATCATCAGCATCATGATCATCCTCAGCATCGTCATCATCATCAGCAGCAACAACATCAACACCAACATCAGCATCAGCATCCGCATCATCCGCATTCGCGTCCTCACCATCATCATCAGCATCATCCCGATCCTCATCCTCATCCTCCTCATCATTATCACTATCATCATTATAATCATCCCCATCATCATCATCAGTATCACAGCCATCATCATCATCACCTTCACCGACACCACCACCACCAGCATCAGTACCATCAGCATCATCATCATCGTCATCATCATCATTACCACGATCATCAGTATAATCAGCATCGTCGTCCTCATCCTCCCCGTCATCGTCATCATCTTCATCACACTCATCAGCGAAATCACGGGTACTATTATCATCATCATCGTCGTCTTCGTCGGCATCGCCATCCTCATACTTTTAATCATCATGATGATCATCACTATCATCGTAGTCATCATCATCACCAGCATGGTCATCACCAGCAGGAGGAATACCATCAGCATCATCATGCACAAGATCATCATGATGATCAGCAGCATCATCAACATCGTCATCACAATCATCATCACCATAGTCATCATCATCATAATCATCACCAGCAGCATCATCAGCATCATCAGCAACACCATCATCATCAACACCATCAACACCACCATCTGCAACGCTCTTTTGACACAAATGAGCTGCGGACGTCGATCGATATCGATAAGAACAGATACCACTGATTGTGCATGTGAAGGGAAACACCCCCTCTCGGACGCAGCGGACAGCGGGCCCAAGCCCCACTCCCGCGGCGCCACGTGCGCCGTGTGCAGCGCGCCAAGGCCGCGCGCATGCCTGCAGACCTCTCGCCCGCTAGGCCCGTGCACGGCCGACCACTCTCGATACATGTCGTCCGCACCTCCCGCTTCAGTGCGGGACCTCTAGGTCCGTGGAAAAGGAAAGTAAACTCGTGCATCGGCCCGGCGCCATACACCCTAGAGAGTGCGATGGAGCGGGCTGCCCTCGTCGCGCACCTTAAAGCCCATAGCCTCGAAGTGCCGTCTCAGATGTGTCTGGTCCAGCGCCTTGGTGAACGCGTCGGCCGGGTTCAAGAGGCCCGGCACATGCTTGATCTCCACTTTGCCTGCCTTGACCTGGTCCTGCAGCCACAAGAACCTCGTGTCTATATGACGGACCGCACCAAGGCCTTGCCGCGTGGCGATGCCTTCGGCCGCCACGCTGTCACTGCGTAGCAGTGGCCTCTCTAGATGCCGCACGCCGAAGTCGTAGAGCATCGACTGCAGCCCCAGCGCGTGGCTCGCACCCTTCAGCATCGCGTAATACTCGGACTCCCCTGAAGACAGCGCGACCGTGGTCTGCTGAGTGGAAGCGCGCTTCACGAGATGGGAGCCGAGCATGAGCATCATGCCACTGCGCGACTTCCTGGTAGTCGCCTCGCCGGCCCAGTCCGCGTCTACAAAGATCTCGACGCGCGTGGGGAACTCTTGCAGCTTGAACACCAGCGAGCCGGCCCTGGCCTGCTTGAGATATCGGCCCAAGCGCTTCAAGTCTACATATCATGTCCGACTCGCGTGGCGTCTTCATCGACTTGGCCAGAGAAGACGCTGTGTAGCTGAGGTCCGGCCTGTCCTGCCCGATGTAGCTCGCGCGCATGACCAGCGAGCGGTAGAGCTTGGACTGTGCGTCGTCGAGCGTCTGGGACTGCGAGGCCTCGATCGTCTCGGTCACGCTCTTCTTGACCGCAGGCGTCTGCGCTGGCTTGGCGTCGCACAGGTGCAGGTCTCGAAGGATCATGTCGACGTGACGGACGTCCGACTCGATACGTGCTTCGCCTGCGGCGGGATCCCAGATGAGCACGCGGTTCAAGTAGACCGTGCTCTGGACCCTTTCGGCCGTCGAGGAAAGGCGGCCCGTGACCTTGTAGTCGTACTTCTTCAGCAGCTCGTCGAACCAGGCCTCGTCGTCTGCGTACATCAGTACGCCGAAGTCGTCGCCATGCACCTCGAGGGCGATGTCACGCCCAGGGTGCCACAGGATGGCGGGGCTCGACTTCCCCTGCAGGAACTCGACGGACTTCAGCAGCTCGACGTAGTCTCCCTGCCAGACCTGGCTCGCATCCATCGTGCCGTACATCGTGCGAAGGAGAAGCCCGACGAGCGGCTCCTCCTCGCCCTGACGCTCCTCAGGTGGAAGTTCCACCCAGAGGCGCCTCTGCACGTGCCCGTAGAAGTGGGCGCGCGACACGTCGTAGAACTTGTACAGCACCTCGCGGGGCTCCGAGCTCTGGAACTGCTCGAACGCCCTGCTGAGGAAGAGGCTGACCAGCGCCTTGAACGCCTCCAGCGGTGGCGCCCCCGAAAAGAGGTCCTGCTGCGGCGGCAGCAGCCCCTCAGCGCGCCGGCGGACCTTCATCTCCCGTGCCACGAGCCTCGAGCGATACAGCGGTCGCTCGAGGTCCCCCTTGTTGGTGTCAATCCACCGCGTGTCGATGGCACGACCTCCCTCCGCCTCCATCTCGCGGCGTGGAACCTTCTTCCACACTCCGCGGCTACGGCGCCACTCCAGCTTCTCAGCCCTGGCCTCCTTCACCTTCAGCGGGTCGAGGAAGCCCCCGCGGACGTCGTCCACGAACGCCTCCGCCTCCTGGTCCATGTCCTCCGCGTGCGGCGAGGGCCCGGCGGTGAAGCCCGCCAGGTCCGTCAGCGATTCTCGAGCTCGAAGTTCCTCCCTGAGGCCGCGAAGGATGGCTCTGACCAGGCGGGGTGGGTACACCTGCGCCCGCAGAGCCCTCTTGTCGCCGAGCAAGTGCACGTGCCGGTAGGGCTCGCCGCCGACGGACGGGCAGCGGCACTCCCCAGCAAGGATGCCGGCCAAGACCTGCGAGTTCGTCAGCCAGCCCGTCTCCTTGCGCACGAATGCCTCGCGCCCGTCGGGCCCCCGAGCGTGGAGGCCCCAGCGGCACATCGGGCCGCGCACCAAGTACACGCCCGGCAACTCCTTGACCCTCTGGACGCACGGCCGCGACCAGGAGGATGCGCCCCAGGGGTGCTCGCGCAGGAAGAGTGCTCCTCGCTGATGCCTGCTCTCGCACACCTTCATGGAGAACTCCAGGTGTGTCTCGCCCTCGAAGACCTCGGAAGCCACGATGCCCTCGTCCCGCTTGAAGTTGCTGAGCTGCCTGAGCTTGGAGAAGACCGTGCACGGCGGGGAGGTCACCGTGAGGAGAGGGTCGTCCTCCAGCAGCTTCTTCATGGCTGCCCGGCGGTGGTCCTCGCGAAGCAAGTCCCAGCCGGTGTAGAGGTCCGCCGCGAGGCCTGCAGTCAGGCCCATGCCGAGCGCCTTGCCCTTGAAGCGCTCGGGCGAGTAGACCTCTGCGAGGTCGACCCCGTTGATCTCGGTCAGCAGCGCGGACACCTCCTTCAGCTCCTCGATCGACCTGGCGTTGTCGCCGATCAGGTCCGCGGCGCTCACCAGCGCCAGGATCTCCCTGTAGATCTTGCCCTTGACCTCGTCAAAGGCGCCGACGTCCATGGAGCTGCCAGCCCGCGCGGCTGGCCCTGCCAAGTCCTCCATGTCGCCTCCTCCTCTAGCCCCCTCTGGGCTAGGCGCGGGCTGCACCAGCCCGGCGGACACTGCCGCGCTCGCCGGTCCCGCCGACGAGCTCGAGCCTCCGTCCACGATCATCTGCCCGTGGAGGTCCGGCTCGCTCCCGGCTCTCTTGAGCCCCCTTGGCCCGTCTCGCAACTGCGGCGGGCGGCGCTCCTCGGCGGATACGCTCGCAGCACGCTTCCTCGATGCTGCCGATGGCGTCGCCGGGGCGCTCGCACGTGGCCCTGCCATGACCACGTCCGCGCCGGGACCTGCCGCGGCGCCTCCTCCGCCGCTGGCCGCGGCGGCTCCTCCGCCGCTGGCCGCGGCCGCTCCAGGCTGGGGCGCCGGCTGCGCCGCGCTCTCCTCCACCTGAGCCTCGCGAGCACTCGCCTTCAAGTGGTGCTCCGCCAGTCTCCGCTGGCCTGCCGAGTCCTTCATCAGCTCGGCCTCGATGCGATCGCGGCACTCTTGGGAGTGCGCGACCCGCGCCGACCCTCTTGCCATGAGGTCTGCGCAGCCTGGACACCCCGGAGTGGCTCCGAAGCGTTCGATGTCCTTCTTGAGTACGTAGCGCCTCCTGACCACGGTGTCGTGGTCCTCCTGCGTGTCTCTGGTCACGGTGATCGGGCCCACGGGCGGCGCGAGCAACGCCGCGGGGGAAACCTCCCACGGCAGCCCAGCAAGCCTGCCCCACGACCCTGGCGCCTCCGGTGACCATGCCTGGGCTCGATGTAGGCGCTTGAAGCCCTGGGCCCGCACGACACCCGACTGCGTCATGACGAGCAGCGCGCCCGTCCGCGAGTGGTAGCCCACGAAGTGCCCCGTGAGCATCTTGGGGGCCAGCGTGCTCCTCTCGTCTCCGACTCCGAGAGGTCGATAGTGCACCCTCTCGCCGAACTCCGCCGCGAACTTCCTCCAGGGGCGGCCACGCCTCCGCTGCTCGGCCGACATGCCGTCAACGCCGAGCCTGACCTTGGAGATGGAGTCCGCGGCAAACTGGGGCAGCCACCTGACGATGGGATGCCCAGGCGAGATCTCGAAGCCGAAGGACTTCTGCATGGAGAAGAAGTTCGCGCGGATGACCTTCTTCACCTCCTTCACGCTGGCTTCGACCTCGCCGTTGCTCTTGTGCTCGCCCTTGGGCGACTCCTGCGGGATGCACTCGACCTGCTGGCCCACGCCAACCATCGCTGCATTCTTGATCGCACAGATGCTCGCCTCGCCGTCGGACTTGAGCACGACGCGGCGGTGCCCGAGGTGCTTCAGGAAGCCCACGAGCCACTTGACCGCGAAGTCGGACGCGGTCTTGTCCTTGACGGCGGTCGCGCCCTTCATGCCGTACTTGCGGTCCGTCACCACTAAGATGGGGATGGAGCCGTCGTCCTCCACGTCCTGGACCTTCTCCCCGATGAAGGCGAAGTCCATGCTGACGACCGGGTCGGCGTCATCGCGATCCTCAGGTCGCCGGGCGCGCTGGGTGCCCAGGCCGGCTGCCCGCACGCACTCCTCGCACCACGAGCGGTAGACCGCGTGGCCGGATGCCAAGTGCTGCTCCCGCTCGGCTTGCGTCGGCGCCCTGCCACGGCGCGCGACGCGAGCGGGTGCCGCTTCCGGCGCCTGCTGCTCCTCCTCCTGGCCCACGTCTAAGTCGGTGAGCGGCGCTGGGCCCGGGCCCCCAGCAACAGCGCCGCCTCCTCCCGGCCTCACGGCCAGGCCTGCCGGTGAGGGACTGGCGACCCGCCCTCGACCAGGCACAGGTCCCAGCTCTCGCGGTGGTCGCCGAACGAGACCCTCTTGACGTGGCCTCCCTCGTTCTTCTTGATGTAGCCTGCGTAGATGCCCTTCTCGATGTACAGAGGCACCACGCCCGCCTCGCTCCACGCAACATCGCGGATGAGAGCGTCGACGCGGTTCACGATGTCCGAGCCGGCCGGGAGGATGTAGCCGCCCTCCTTCGTCAGCCATGTGGCCCGACCCGTGCGGCGAGTCTGCGAGGCCGAGACCAGCGGCTTGTGGATGCTGGCCAACCGCGCCTTCAGGCTGATCGGCTCGCTCCACTCGGAGCGCCCTTGGATGCATACCCCGCCCGAGTCGGCTATGATCTCACCGCTGGCCGTCCGATAGCTCGCGTTCGGATCGGCCGGGAGCCGCTCGCCCTTGGTGTTCTCGGGGAAGGTGGTCACGGCCGCGCCCGAGTCGAACGTGAACCTGATCCACTCCTGGTCGTCGACGGTCTCGTCGAAGCTGTTGAGCTCGAACGCGCACAGCTCGAAGGAGCCGAGGTTCGTGGAGCCCACCTGGCTCGCCGAGGGCGGAAGGCTGGTGACCGTGCTGTGGTTGCCGTCATCCCAGTTGTCTCCGTACACCGGCTGGCCAGAGCTTGACGCGGCACCGGGCTCGAAGGAGTTGGTGTCCCAGCGGCGGTTCTTGCCCTTGGACTTGTCCTTGTCCGTGCCCTTGCCCTTACCTTTGCCTTTGCTGCCCTTGCCGTCGCCGGTCTTCCCGCCAGGCAGGCGGGCCGTGCACTCATTGGACGTATGGCCCCAGCCACTGCAACGCCAGCACTGCACCATCCGCTTGTCACGCGGCTTGGGAGTCTGGCCCTTCTTGCCATTCTTGTCACCCTTGCCTTTGGACTTGCCCTTGCCTCCTTTGTACAGCGAGTCAACGTCCATCGGGTCGCCTCGCTTCCGTCGGAGGAGGGCGCCTTGCGACTGTCTCGACTCCAGGAAGCTCCGGATCTCCTCTATGACCTTCTCCGACGTGTCTAGCCTATGCTTGTTCATCGCGAGGTGGAGTTCGAGCTCCTCCGGCACCATGGTCTCCAGGGCCGCGACCTTCACGTCGTCGTCGACCACCTTGCCCGCGCCGTCCGCCTTCTTCCTCTCGTACCTGCGGATGAGCTCCTCCCACTCCTCGAGCTTCGCGTACAGGTCGCTGAGGGTGCACCGCTGCGGGTTCATGATTTGCTTCAAGAGGACGCGGCGCTTGCCCCCCGACGCTGGGTCCCAGCGCCGGATGAGCTTCCTCATCGCCTCCGCGCCGTTGCCCTTGGGCGTGTTCATGACTAGGGCGAAGCTCTCACCCTCGGTCAGCGTCTGGAGTGCGACGTAAAGCTGACTGACCTTCTCGCGGAGGTCCGGAATGAACTCATCTTCGTCATCATCGTCACTGCCAAACCGCGCCTCCAGGACCTCCATGCTGATCACTGTGGTCTCCTGCGCCTGGTCCTCCACCCACTCCAGCAGTTTGCGAAACTGCTCGCCGAAGATCGCCGTCAGGTACGCATTCGTCTTGCGGTACCACTCCAGGAACTTGGCCTCCTCGTTCTTGAAGATGGAGGGTTTGCCCAACCCCTTGGTGTCTACGAGTGAGAAGGCCGGCGCAGACGACTTCTCCTTGCGTTCTTCCGATAGCTTCTGCACCGCGTCGCCAAGCTGCTCAGCCAGACGTGGTAGGTCACCCTGCGCCTGCACCTGCCGAGCGAGCTCTGTCCTGATCTGTACGTTCTGCTGCTGCATCTGCTCCGCCTGCTGGGACAGCTGAGCATTCTGAATCCTCAGCGCTTCCACCGCGGACTGCAGGCTAGCCATGGCCTGCCTCTCCTGCTCATTCATTGCAGCTGCCTGCGCTTGATGTAGTTGAGGTACTCACCGAGCACCGCCCAGAAGCCCCTGAGAAACTTCTGCTTCAGCACCTTCGCCACTACGTGGCGCCAGCGATGCTGCACGCTCCCGTCGGCCTGCTTGACCGACGCCTCTGCCTCGTCCGCCACCAGCTGCCACCCGCCAGCAGCACCGCGATCGCCGCTCGACGCCGTGGCTGGCGTGGGCGGGGCGGGCCGCGCGGGAGCGCGGCCGGGGGCCGGTGCGCGCGAGCGCCGGAGCGACCGACGCTCCGCTACCATGCAACGCTCTTTTGACACAACTGAGCTGCGGACGTCGATCGATATCGATAAGAACAGATACCACTGATTGTGCATGTGAAGGGAAACACCATCATCAACATCATAATCATCATCATGATAAGGGTCATGATTGCCAGCATCATCATCAGCAGCATCATCAGAATCATCACCACCACAATCATCATCATCGTCATCATCCTCATTATCGTCATCGGCATAAGCATCATCATCACCGTCATCATCACCATCATCATTATCAGCATCATCCGCATCGCTATCATCATCATAATAATCTTCATGACCATCATCAGTGGCATCATCATCACCATAATCAGTATCATCATCAGCATCAGCATTATCAGCACGATCATCATCATCAACGTGATCAGCATCGTCATTATCATCATCATCATCATCAGCAGCAGCATGATCTGCATCATCCTCATCAGCAACATCAGCATCAAAATCATCATAATCATCATCACCATCATCATCAGCAGCAGCATGGTCTGCATCATCATCAGCAGCATCAGCATCACCAGCATAATCATCATCATCATCACCATCACAATCATCAGTATCATCATTATAGTCACCACCACCGCCACAATCATCATGACCATCAGCATCATCATCATCGTCATCATCATTAGCATCATAGTCACCACCATCGTCGTCATCAGCAAAATAAGCATCACCAACACAATCATCATCATCATCGTCATCATCCTCATCACCATCACCATCGCCATGACCCCCACCATCACCATCAACATCGTCAGCATCATCAGCACAGTCATAATGAAAATCGTCATCAGCATCAGCATCATCATTATCATCATCACCATCACCACCATCGACATCATGATTACCACCATCATCATCATCATCATCATCATCGCCATCATCATCATCATCATCACCATCATCATCACCATCATCATCACCATCATCATCGGCATCGCTATCATCATAAGCGTCTGCATGATCATCATCAGTAGCATCATCGTCAGCATCGTCATCACCATCGTCAGCGTCATCATCAGCACCACCATCATCAGCATGATCATTCTCATCGGCATCACCATCATCATCAGCAGCATAAGCATCATCATGATCATCATCGACGTGATCAGCATCGTCATCATTATCACCACCATCATCATCATAATCAGCATGACCTGCATCATCACCAACAGCATCAACATCCAAGTTATCATAATCATCAGCATCACAATCATCACACTCAGCATCATCATCATCATCAGCATCATCATCATCACCAACGTGAGCATCATCATAATCATCATCATCATTAGCATCATCATCAGCAGCATCATCATCATGACCATCAGCATCATCATCATCGTCATCATCATCAGCATCATCAGCATGACCATCAGCATTATCATCATCGTCATCATCAGTAGCATCACCATCATCGTCGCCGTTATCAGAAAAACCATCATCATTATCAAAATCATCATCATCATCGTCATCATCCTCATCACCATCACCATCACCCCCACCATCACCATCAACATCATCATCATCAGCAGCATCACCACCAGTATCATCATCAGTATCATCAGCACCATCATCATTAGCGTCATCATCAGCACCATCAGCATCATCATCATTAGCATCATCATCAGCAGCATCATCATCAGCATCACCATCACCATCATCATCATCACCACAAACATCCTCATCATCATCACCATCATCATCATCGCCATAACCATAACCATCATCATCATCACCATCACCATCATCAGCATCATAGGCATCGCTATCATCATCATGAGCGTCTTCATGATCATCATCAGTAGCATCATCATCATCGTCATCACCATCGTCATCATCATCATCATAAACATCATAAACATCATAAACATCATCAGCCTCATTATCATCATCAGCATGGTCATCATCATCGGCATCACCATCATCATCAGCATCATCATCAACGTGATCACCATCATAATTATTATCATCACCATAATCATCATCAACATGACCTGTATCATCATCAGCAGCATCATCATCCAAATTATCATAATCATCATCAGCACCATCATCACTAGCATTATAATCATCATCATCGTCGTCATCATCATATTGATCATCATCACAATCATCTTCATTATCATCAGCATCGTCACCACCATAATCACCATCATCATGAGCATCAGCATCATCATCATCGTCATCATCATTAGCATCATCATCATCGTCGTCATCAGCAAAATAATCATCATCATCACAATCATCATCACCATCGTCATCATCCTCATCCTCATCACCATCACCCCCACCATCACCATCAACATCATCCTCATCATCAGCAGCGTCACCACCAGCATCATCATTATCAGCATCCCCAGCACCATCATCATTAGCATCATCAGCAGCAGCATCATCATCACAATCATCAACACCATCATCCTCATCATCATGATCATCACATTCATCACCATCACCATCATCATCATCACCATCATCATCAACACCATCATCATCACCATCATTATCATAGGCATCGCTATCATCATCATCATAAGCGTCTTTATGATCATCATCAGCAGCAGCATCATCATCACCATCGTCAAAATCAGCGTAATCATCATCATCATCATCAGCATCATCATACTCATCAGCATGGTCCTCATCATCGGCATCACCATGCGCCTGATTATCTGAGGATGTCTCAAGCGGAACTTTGATTATTGGAGAATCCTTTGGATTTTCATTTCTGGGGGAATCCGACGGCCCGAGAAGTCCGGCGGAAAAAAAAAAGTCCGGTGGATTTTCAAAAAACCAAGGTTTCGCTTGAGACACCCTCCAAATTTTCACTTTCCCTCTATTGTTTTTGGCCCGATGTCTCAAGCGAAACCTTCATTTTCAATAAGGTTAAATCTAAAAACAAAGGTTTCGCTTGAGACATCAGGCAAAAAGTGATGGCGGAAAGCTGGTTTTCTGAGGATGTCTCAAGCGAAGCTTTGATTATTGGAGAACCCTTTGGATTTTCATTTTCTGGAGAAATCCGACGGCCTGAGAGAAAATCCGGCGAATAATAAAAAAAAATCTGGTGGATTTTCAAAAAAAACAAAAAGATTCGCTTGAGACACCCTCCAAACTTTCACTTTTCCCCTATTGGTTTTTGCCCGATGTCTCAAGCGAAACCTTGATTTTCAATAAGGTTAAATCTAAAAATCAAGGTTTCGCCTGAGACATCGGGCAAAAACCAATAGGGGAAAAGTGAAAGTTTGGAGGGTGTATCAAGCTAAACCTTGGTTTTTTTGAGAATCCACCGGATTTTTTGTTTTTTAGTTCGCCGGACTTTCTGGGGCCGTCGGATTTCCCGAGAAATGAAAATCCAAAGGATTATCAAATAATCAAGGTTTCGCTTGAGACATCCTCAGAAAAGTAGCCTTCCACCATCACTTTTTGACAGATGTGTCAGGCGAAACCTTGGTTTTTGACCTTAACCTTATTGAAAATCAAGGTTTCGCTTGAGACATCGCAAAAACCAATAGGGGAAAAGTGAAAATTTGGAGGGTGTCTCAAGCGAAACCCTGATTTGTTGAAAATCCAATGATTTTTTTTCCTGTTCGCCGGACTTTCTCGGGCCGTGGGATTTCCCCAGAAATGAAAAACCAAAGGATTTTCGAATAATCAAGGTTTCGCTTGAGACATCCTCAGAAAAGTAGTCTTCCACCATCACTTTTGACAGACGAAACCTTGATTTTTAGATTTAACCTTATTGAAGATCAAGGTTTCGCTTGAGACATCGGGCAAAAACCAATAGGGGAAAAGTGAAAGTTTGGAGGGTGTCTCAAGCGAAACCCTGATTTTTTGAAAATCCAGTGGATTTTTTGTTTTTGTTCGCTGGACTTTCTCGGACCGTCGAATTCCCCAAGAAATGAACATCCAAAGGATTCTCCAATAATCAAGGTGTCGCTTGAGACATCCTTAGGAAGCAGCCTTCCACCATTACTGTTTGACAGATGTCTCAGCCGAAACCTTGCTTTTAGCTTTTATCAACTTGTATGTTGCTGGTAGTTTTAATTGACTTCTTTGATTTCTTTGGAATCTGTGTTAAAACTGAGAATAGTGGTTATCAAAAAAACGATGAAACCGTCCAGGCCTGTTTACAGGCTCCAGTCCCTCCTCCTCTTCCTCCTCCTCCTCCTCCTGAATCCTCCTCCTCCTCCTCAGTACACTGGTCCTCCTCCTCATCCTCCTCCTCTTCCTCCTCCTCCTCCTCCATCCTTCCTCCTTTTCTCCCTTCTCTTCGTCCTCCCTCCTTTCTCCTAGCCTTCCTGCTCCTCCTCCTGCTTCTCCTCCTCTCTCCCTCCCTCCCTCCCTTCCTGCCCACCCTCGTCCCCCCTTCCTCCCTCCCTCCCTCCCTCACCCTCCCCCTCCCCCCCCCCCTCCCTCCTCCTCCTCCTCCTCCTCCTCCTCCTCCTCCTCCTCGTCCTCCTCCTCCCCCTCCCTCTTCGTCCTCCTACTCCTTTTGAGTTAGACGGCCCTTGGCATGATGCTGTGGCGCTACGATGGCAAAATTGGTATAGACGTGCAGATGGGCGAGTCGGCGCAAAACGGCCAGGCCGGGGCCGCGGAAAATTAACTAGATAAAGGCACGGAAAAGACGAGCAAGAAGAGTAGGCGCCCGCCATGTCC